GTTAAAAACTCAAATATTTTTTCTGTTATCAAGAAGTGTGGTGTTGATATTAGGAAGAATCTGTATGGAAATATTGTCCTCAGTGGAGGCTGCACTGTGTTATGATGGGACATGGGCATGGAGGCAAGCAAATTATGATTAATATTTATTTTTTTCGTTACTGATTTGGTTTGGTTGAAATAAAAAAAGAAAAACTAATGAAAAGGACTTGAAAACTTTGAGTTTTAACGATAATGACAAAATAAAGGGTAAAATGAATAGTAACATATTTGACTTTTTAGTGAAAAAAATGTGGTTTTTCGTTAAAGTGAACAGTACCGGGAGTTTTTCGTTAAAGTTCCCAATAAAAAATCATTTTCACTACTCTTTTTGTTGTTGTATATGCCTCATCTTATAGCTTATCTCATAATAAAAATCAAATCGATATATATATACATATATATATATATATATATATATATATATATATATATATGTATTCTGAATAATCTTTTCATATATGTAAGTAGAAACATAGTGTGTATTAAAAACACAAGTAAAACTAATGAAAGTACAAATTCATTTACAATCAATCCGAATTAAATAAAGAATACATTTTGTTGATGCACAAAATCCGGCAGAATGCACAAAATCCGGCGGATCTTGGACCAACGTAAATCCGACCGTGAATTATTCAAATTTACAAGAACACAAATATATATCGTGGTTCACCTCAAGTTGGGCTACGTCCATACTGATGTCGATAAGTGTTGATGAAGGTTACAGTATGCATGGAGGCTATACAGGCTTAGTATTTGCTCTTTGTATTATTCTTTGCCTCTCTGTCTGTTTCCTCTTTGTTTCCCCCCTTAGTGAAGGTGAGGAGAATCCCTTTTATAGAATAAGGGTTTCCTCCTCTTACATAAATCATGGGCTCATTCCTGAAGCCCAAATATCGAGGCCTAATATCTGGTACAACAGGAGTCCCCCAAGTCTTCAGTCAAGAGAGTCCTTTGGCTGGAGACTTCAAATTCAATCCATGTGTGGGCCGAAGTGACTAGATGTCGTTCAGAACTAGTACTCGACATGAGACGGTGCTTAACGTGAAGCAATACTCAACCAGAGGTAGCACACGTTGCGAGGCTGCTCGGCTAAAGGCGATGCTCGCGACGAGACGGTTGCTCGGCTGGAGGCGGTGCTCGTTGCGAGGCGGCTCGGCTTTTGGCGTTCTTCTCTGTGAGTATGCATTCGACGTCAGCGTGTGCTCATTATGAGTTGATTCTTGACATGACTCGGGTTTGCTTGTCGGGTTCGCATATTGGGTCTATGTGTCGGGTTCGCGGATTGGGTCCACAAGTTGGATCTTTGAGTCGGGGCCATATGTAGGGTTATCGAGTCGGGGCCATTTGTAAGGTCATCGAGTTGGGTCCATAAGTTGGGTCCGTGAGTTGAGGTTCGAGCTCAAGGGTGTCCAATTTCGTAGGTGCCCAAACGAGTGGTTATCTAAGTTTGTGGGTGTTCAGGCACATATGTGTCCAAATAAGCGAGTGTCCGAGCAAGTGGGTGTCTAGTTAGACAAGAGATCACCGTTCAGACTAAATCTTTGTCACCATAAGCATGTGGCTCGGTGATCCATAGGCTGATCCATAGTGTTGACCACCATAATTTGGGTCCTTGGTTAATCAATTAATTGTATGAGTATCGTATACAAGTAATCAATCATTAAAGTGTGCATATTGCGGGTAATGTCACACATAGATCATATAAACATACAATAATGTAGTATGCCTAGTGAAATGTGTATGTGACAATATAATTTAATGAAATAGGAGGTGGCCGACAATATCAAAGGGTAATAATACTAAAGTTATGATAGGAATGATTATGGTTTGTGATGTGACCCGGCATAATAAACACACATCAGTAGTCATGTAGCTTTAATATAATGACAATGGGGACGCATTATATATATATATATATATATATTTTGTCAGGTGCCGACTGTATACACACAGATCATGAAAATAAATAATATATTCCTAACTGTGCACTAAAATATAAGTGTGATAGAAATGACGTGGTCTCTTTTTAAAGAATATGCACACTATAAAGCAAACTACTGGTGGCATATGCACACTGTAAAGCAAACCAAACCAACAGGGACGCACTATTAAGTGTGATAGAAATGATGTGGTCTCATTTTAAAGAATATGCATATTGTAAAGCAGATGTTGCAATAACAAGACTAACACAGAATAATAATAAAATATTAAATAAACAGTAATAATATTAAACAAATCATTTGGAAAAAGATAAAGTTCTTATCTTCTTCCATGTTGGTGGTCGACACCCTCCTTGACGAGTTTTTTCAGCACTGACACTTTCAGTGGGTTTCCCCGGCAAGGTAGCCAGCGCCAGAGGCATTCGGGTAGAGTGGTGATGACCGTTCGAGTCCCCCGATTTCATTGGTAGTGGTGGCAAGGTTGTGATACCATCAGAACAGACGGTCGGAGATCTGGTCGTGGAGACCATGCGCCTCGCCGTCTGACCTTGCCTTCCGTCGAGTTGTCAATGCTCGACCTTCAAAGGTGAGGATTTGAGCAGCGCCGCTTGACTTCATGAGCGAGAGAGAGAGAGACGCATGAGTGCTGCGAGAATAGTGAATAGCAGTAGAAATGAGAAGCTTCTGCTGGTGGTAGAGAGACCGGCTGTCGTAGCAGGATTGGCGCAGTGTTTGAAAATGGACTCAACTATAGTGGTGACCTCATCTTCCCTAATGGGTCGGAGAGCCTTGATCCTCTTGGGAGAGAAGAGCTTCAGAGTGCAGACCTTCCTGACCTTGACGTAGTGGGGTTCATAGTTAGCCCAGATAAGATCCTGACCATCATTGCTAAACTTCGCGGCCGATCTGCTCCGATGCCGGTCCACCAGCTTCTGGTCATGCTCCTTAAGCACCTCATTGGCCAGCTTCGAGCTCGACACCACCACGTTCAACATGGACCCCGTCCACACCAATACGATGAGGTCGTATTCCTGGGCCTACTCGGCGTAGCAGCGGAACCTCATGGGCTTAATGTTGTAGAGGTTGCTGACAATCGACCATGCACGTGGGCCGGGCGGGAGCTTGAATCTGAGCCTTTGGTAGAACTTGTAGGCAAGGGAAATGAGAATGATGATTGATGAGATGGGAAGTAGGAGTCCGCCGGAGAGAGCCATGTTGGATTGATTGAGCCAATTAAGGTAAGCGTGGGAAGGATATTGATATATATGAAAGACCCTTGGGATGAAGTTGGTGAATGGATTTATATTGGGGAGAGAAAGAGAGAGAGAGAGTTGGTCACTATGTAGGTGTTTAGTTCTTAGGTTTATAAAGATTCACAGTAGAGTATGGTGAGGTTGTGAGGGTTTCATGGTGGTGAGATGAAAAAAATGAAAGAGAACCGATATAGTTTTTCGTGTCGTTTCCCACAGAGGGCGCCAAATGTTGATGCACAAAATCTGGCAGATCTTGGAACAATGTAAAATCTGACCGTGAATCATACAAACGCATACGAACACAAAGATATATCGTGGTTCACCTCAAGTTGGGCTACGTCCACACTGATGTCGATAAGTGTTGATGAAGGTTACAATATGCATGGAGGCTATAGAGGCTTAGTATTTGCTCTCTGTATTATTCTCTGCCTCTCTGTCTGTTTCCTTTTTGTTTCCCTCTTAGTGAAGGTGAGGAGGATCCCTTTTATAGAATAAGGGTTTCCTCCTCTTACATAAATCATGGGCTCAGTCCTGAAGCCAAAATATCGAGGCCCAATATCTGGTTCAACACATTTAAACTACTTAGGAGCTTTTTTCGGCTTAGAATATGGATTCATTTAAATGGCGGTAGATAAAATGCGAAACCCAAACCACCAACCTAAGAAATGCGGCAGCAGCCGCACCGACCATCAAAAGATTAATAACCGGGAGCGGTCGTGTGATTTTTGATATTGGTGACATTGCTTTCAAAGGAGAACTGGATGGTGACGATGGAGGAGAGAGGCTTGGACTCACGACTTAATCTTCTATTTCAGGGGCATTGATCTTGATTTTAATCTTTTGGCCTGCTTTGTAATGACCAGGTTCACCGCAAATAACGTAGTAGGTGTCGGGTATATCAAACGTTAAGGCGGTAAAGGTACCGTAATGAGAGGGGAAATGGTGGCAGAAGATCAGGCTTTAAGCCAAGAGGCTACAAGCTTTTCAAACACTTCGTCTCCCAGTATAATTCATGGTGAGATCAATCCAAATTTGCGTCTGTGCTCCGTGTTGCTAAACGAGTTCAATTACCTACCGTGGTCACATGCCATTTCTCTTGCCTTAGGTGGAAGATCGAAGCTAGGGTATGTCAATAGAAGCATTGAAGCACCTCAACCAACCTCTACATCGTATGGTGCATGGCATGCAAATGATTAACTTGTTATGTCTTGGATACTTAATTCCATGGAACCTAAGTTATCTGAGCTCTTCAGCTACTCAAAGTCCTCTCGTATTTTGTGGGAATCTATCAAAGAGATGTATGACAGCCAAAATAATGCTGTTTGTATATTTCAACTGAAGAAGGACCTTGCTGGGCTAAGGCAAGGTGACCAATCCTTCGTGCAACATCTTGGAAGTATGAAGTCCATGTGGAATGAACTCGACATGTACCGACCACATACAATCGATTCCGCTGCGCTCCTTAAAAGAGCTTATAAAGACAAAGTGTTTCAACTCCTGGCAAGTCTAGGAGCTGAATATGAAGACCTTTGAAGTCATTTATTGATGACCCCCAATCTGCCCTCATTTAATAGTGTTTGTTAAGCTATTCAAAGGGAGGAAACTTGATGAAAAGTCATGCACATTGAGCCTAAGTCTAACTTTGAGGCTAGGGTTTTCATTGGCAATCATAAACACACAGGTGAAAAAATTTTCCTGGAAAGAAGGCAAATTGGAAATGTACTTACTACAACATGAAAAGGCATTTAAGGGAAAAATGTTGGATCATGCACCCAGAGTTAAAACCAAGGTTTGATAAAGAAGGAAGAATGATTAAAGAAGGGAAAGGAACCACTCCAAAGGCTCTCCATTCAACTAGTTCTTTGATTGGTGGAATTGCAAACTTCACTGCAAATCCAATAGATTTGATAAATGAATTTGCTAGTTTTCTTCAAAGAAGAGGAGGCACCACTGAAGATAAGGAAGTGACCACTAAGAACCCTACTGCCATGCTAGGAAAATTCGTAGGTTTCTTGACTGAGACCACAACTCAAGGTAATGTTTCAGGTATTATCACTGCCCTCTCCAATGTACTCAATGAAATTACACATGATTGTTGGATTATAGACTCAGGTGCCACTGATCATATAACAAACAAGTCTTCTTGCTTAGATAAGTTTCAAAATATGCCTAAATCTACACATGTGTTTGTAGCAAATGGGAAAGGAGAACCTATTCTAGGAAAAGGAAAACTTAAACTGTTAAGTGATGAGATCGAGTCAACAACTTTGTATGTACCCTCATTTCCTTTCCAACTTTTGTCCATATGAAAAATCACAACCACTCTAGATTGCCTTGCCATATTCTCTCCTCACAATGTTGTATTTCAGGATCGAGTTATTCGAAAGAAGATTGGTGAATGGTTTCTCTCAAATGGACACTATTATCATTCCAAGAAGTTCAAGCCTGTTAAAAACCTTATTGCCAGCCTCAGTCTCCTTTAAGAATACCAACTTTGGCATCTTTGACTGGCCTTCCCTTAGAACCTGTGATGACCAAACTCTTTCCTAATTTTTGTAAACCTCTAAATGAGTGAGAGATATGTCAAGTGTCAAAAGTAACTAGACTTCCTTTTGTTTCTTCCATGTCTAGAACCAATAAATTGTTTAAGGTTGTTCACTCAGATTTCTGGGGTCCTTCTCATGTGACTCATTTGATGGATATAAATACTATGTCACTTTTATTGATGACTACTCTCGGGTCACTTGGGTTTATCTCTTAAAGTTCAAGAGTGAATTTTTTGATGCTTTCAAAGACTTTCATAAATTGATCACAAACTAATTCTCATCTAAGTTAAACTCTTACAATTGGACAATGGCATTGAGTACACATCCAATAACATGTCTAATTATTTGAGCAATCATGGGATTTTACATCAAACTAGCTGTGTTGGTACACCACAACAAAATGGTGTAGCTAAGAGAATGAACCGTGACTTATTAGAGAAAACAAGGTCTCTTATGTTTCAAATGCATGTTCCCAAAAGGTTTTGGTCTCAGGCCCTTCTCACTGCAGCTTACATCATCAACAGATTACCTACTCGTGTTTTAAAATCAAAATCACCTGTTGAAGTAATGAAGGGAAGAAATATTGATATCTTACACCTCAGAACCTTTGGGTGCACCTGTTATGTACATGTTCAAGCTGCACATCGAGATAAGCTTGAACCCAGAGCTGTCAAAATTGTGTTTATGGGATATTCAAGCTCTCAAAAAGGATATAAATACTACAATCCTCATAATGGAAAGACTGGAGTCTTAAGAGATGTTCGATTTGATAAGCATACTCCATTTTTTCACAAAGGTTGCAGTGAAGAACCTCAGGGGGAGAGTCCTATGGAAATATTTCCTTTGCCTACCCCAGCACACCTACATGAATGCAATCCTTAAAATGTTCTTTTCGAATATCTCTCAGAGCAACGTGATGGTGAGGAAATAGCTCATGATCAAGAAAACTCAGTCACTGCACCACAACCTGTCTTGGCTCCATGAAGAAATCCTACCCGAGACAGGCATCCTTCATTAAGGCTGTAAGAGTACATTACATACAATGCAAGACATCCTATCTCTAAAGCTTTAACCTATCAAAAACTGTCAACACCATATGCAACATTTCTCAATCAGTTGTCCACTAATGTTGAACCAAGGAACTTTAATGAAGCTTCTCACATTCAAGTATGGCAGGAAGCAATAGAAGAAGAGCTCAAAGCACTGAATGACAACCAAACATGGAGTGTGGTTGATCTTCCAAAGGGAAAAATGGCAGTAGGGAGTAGGTGAATATACAAGACAAAGTTCCATTCAAATGGCAGTATTGAAAGACATAAGGCTCGATTAGTAGCTTATGGCTTCACACAAACTTATGGCATTGTCTACAAGGAGACATTTGCTCATGAAGCCAAAATGAGCACGGTACGAGTGCTGTTGTTTATCGCAGTTAATCACGACTGGTCTCTATTGCAAATGGATGTGAAAAATGCATTCCTCCATGGTGAACTTGAAGAAGAGGTACACATGAAGCTTCCTCCCGGACATCCACAAGAGCATGAAACTAACAAAGTTTGCAAACTTCACAAGGCTATATATGGACTCAAGCAATCCCCTTGAGCCTGGTACTCGAAGTTAAGCTCAGTTCTTGAAGCTGCAAGGTTCCAGAGGAGTCATGCTGATTCTTCATTGTTTGTTCGTAATGGTACAAATGGTAAGGTCATTGTCCTTATATTTGTTGATGACCTTATTATAACGGGTGACAACATAGAATAAATCAATGCTCTCAAATCCTCTTTTCATCAACAATTTGCTCTTAGGATTTGGGAATCTTAAAGTACTTTCTTGGCATTGAAATGGCCACATCATCCAGAGGATTGTTCCTAAATCAAAGAAGATATGGACTTGATCTATTGGATGAAGCTCACATGTTGGATTGCAAGCTAGCACGCACCCCTCTTGTGAGCAAACTTCAATTAGATGTCCAAAGTGAACCATTGTCAAACCCTAGTGTCTATCAACGTATGGTAGGAAAGCTAATCTACCTCACAATTATATGACCTGACATTGCTTATTCAATAAGCCTTGTTAGCCAATTTATGCACTCTCCCACACTGATTCACTGGGAGATTGTCAAAAGGATACTTAGATACTTGAAGGGGTCAATTGGAAAAGGCTTGCTTATGAAGAAACATGGCTCAAATCACATTATGGCATACACTGATGCTGATTGGGTAGGTAATGCCCTCGATCGCAAGTCTACCACTGGTTTCTGTACAATTGTTGGTGGTAATCTTGTCACATGGAAAAGTAAAAAATAAACGGTGATTGCGCGATCAAGTGTTGAGGCCGAGTATAGAGCCATGGCATCAACGACTTGTGAATTAATCTGGTTAAAGAGTCTCCTAGCTGACCTTGGCTACATCGACACAGAATACATCGACACAGAACCTATGTCTCTATTTTGTGACAACCAAGCTGCCATACACATAGCTTTGAACCTAGTTTTTCACAAGAGGACAAAGCATATTGAGGTTGATTGTCATTACATCCGTGCCCAAGTGCAATCCAAAGTCATCAACACAGTGTACACTCGAAGTTCCGATCAACTTGCTGACTTGTTCACAAAAGCTCTCGACTCTACTCATTTCCAAAGATTGTTGAGCAATCTTGGATCAATTAATCCTCTTGATCCAGCTTGAGGGAGTATTGAAACTGACCGGGTATGAGCATGCTAGAGTCTACTTGGGTCTATGTTGGAAGGTTGCTCAAGGCACATCACAACTCATCAAATTTCAAGTTGCAACTGCAACTCTAGCCCTCATTCTCGGGTAGAGTTGCAGCTGCTACTAAACCGTCATTTTTTGTTACTAACTATCCCTTAATTCTAGGGTTTATGTCTTTTAGTATTTCAGCTCTAGATTTCTTGTAACTTGCAACTAGGGCTAGCCTTTTTATCTTTTGGTCTCTTCCTTGCAGCTGTTTTGTAATTGTTCAATGGGTTCTTTGCTTGGCTCGGTCTCTCTATAAGAGCCCTCACTTGTAATACCAATACATGATGAAAATATACAAATGGTTTTGTTAAACTGAATTCCAATAACAATTAAGCAAGTTTGTCTATTGTGGATACAAAGTCAAGCAAACAAGATCGAGCAAAATCATACTTTGTGATTACAAAGTCAAGGGTCCATTGTATAGGCGCTCATTGTTGTATAGCCTAGCTTTTATTACATGTAGTAGGATGTAGTTGGGAGCTGCTGCCTTTATTGTCGTGAAACTCTAGCACTCCTATATAAGGAGTTTCTTGTACCGTTTCTACATAGAAACACATCAACATATTATTTCTCCAAAACAAAGCTTAATTATAAGTTTTCAAATACCATTCTCTTCATGGTATCAATAGCCATGTGTCTAACGACAAACCTCTAACTGAATTTTTCCCTCTTCTTCTACCTTAATCTAGTGAGTTTGTGACTGTAATTTTTTTTTCTCTTCTGCCTTACCATCTACTCGACTTTTCTTCAGCTTCCATGGCCGCTTCTTCTCTTCTTACCAGCTCCCTTCCTAATATTTCCTATTTGGTTTCAATAAAACTTGATCGAACCAATTACATATTGTGGCTTGCCCAATTTAATCCTTTACTTAAAAGTAATGATCTTATTGGCTATGTTGATGGTACAAAAACATGTCCAACAAAGTTTCTTGAGGATGTTACTACTCTCAATCCCGAGTACGTGACTTGGCAGCGACAATACCAACAAAATAGTACTGCATGCATCAGATACAAAGATGGATACGAGAATTCACTGGCATCCATTGACTTTCAAGGAAAAGAAGAATGATGGTCCACTGCAGTTCTGTAAGGGATGCCTGGAACCAGTGCTTGGGCCTCACTACACTTGCGACACGTGTAACAACATTTACTCGTCCTATGCCCATAAGTTCAATATACATAAATCATGTGCGGAGGTACCCCGTGAGATCCACCACCTTACCCACTCCAAACACCCTCTTCTTCTCAAGTAAAACGACCACTACACATGTGGTGTCTGTCTGTAACTGTAACCAGTCACATCGAAGAGGATACATTCTATCTCACTATTGTTCTAAATGCAACTTCTGTATAGACCTGAAATGTGCTTGGCAAAACCACGGTGAGCACAACTTCACCATCCTTAGGAAGCCCATTGAATTCACTTGCGATGTCTGTGGCCTAGGTGATGGGTCTGGTTACAAAGACAACTTCTACCTCTGCAACATTTGCAAGTTCCTTGTCCATGAGCAATGCTCTTGGTTACCACTTCGAGTCAAAATATCATGGCACCAACACTGCCTCAAGCTTACCTGGTGGTTCCAAGACATGTACCCTAAAGACCAATATTTCTGTGACATCTGCTCAACAAACATGGACGGAAACCGTGCTTTGTATTGTTGTCATGATCATGAATGTCGTGATTATGCTGCCCACTGTAAATGCTTAAGAAAAGAGGGGATAATCATGAACGTCCTTGTCGATGATAATGATGATGATGCACCATCCACATCCAGATGTCCCCCTGCTAATGAGACCACCGCTGATGATAAACCCTTGCAGATCGAGCACTTCAGTCATCCACACATGTTAACCCTCATCGATAGCCAAGAGGTGGCTAGACAAGACGACCAAGATGAAGGAATTACTTGTAACGGTTGCACGCTACCCATCATGAGGGGTGAGTCTTATAGGTCATGCACAGAACAAGCAATAGAAAAGCCATGTAATTTCTCTCTCCACATAAATTGTGCTAAATTACCCCGAAAGAGGCTTCTCCCACTTCACGAACACGAGCTCACACTCCTTCCAACAGCATCTTCTGTCGGTGACGTTTTTGAGTGTGACATGTGCAAGTCCTTGAGCCAAGGTTTCTCATTCCATTGTGAAGATAGCGACTTCAAACTAGACCTCTATTGCAATATTCTTTATGAGCGTAAGCCTCTCCGTTGTGATGCTCATGTTCACACACTCCAGTTCAGCACAGAGCTCGTGTCCTGCAGCAGTTATGGTACTCGTGAAAGGATTTCTGCTTCAGATGTGGCCGTAAGAGATGCGACTTCCAGCTGTGTATTCTGTGTGTTAAATTACCTCTTACGGTTAGGTACAATTACGACGATCATCCTCTCAAACTCACTTATGCTAGTGTTAAAAATGAGCTCGATGAGTACTATTGTGACATATGCGAAGGAAAACGAGATCCAAAACATTGGTTCTACTCCTGCCTGGATTGTGACTTTGAATGTCATACTCATTGCATTAGAGGGAGGTATCCGCAAGTCAAGTTAGGGGGCTCTTACAAGCATCATGATCACCAGCACGACGTCGCCCTTGTTTATAAGAGAAAAGGCAAGATTCCTAATGATAAGAGAGAGCGCTTACTTCCTTGTTCCAAGTGTTCTATGATTTGCAAAGGATTGGTTTGTGAATGTTTGGTGTGTGGTATTAATATGCACCTAAGGCATATAAGAAAGCAAAAGCATATAAAATTTCTATTTTGAAATCTTGCTTTTCATTGTTTGCGATAGGCCTGGCAATCGGGTCGTGTCAGTCGTGTTCGTGTCGTTTTCGTGTAACACCTGTTAGCTTAACGGGTCGTGTCGTGTCACACCCGTTATCTTAACGGGTCCTTAACAGGTCGGGTCACTTTACCCGTTGGGTAAAGTGACCCGACCCGACCCGTTATGACCCGTTATGACCCGTTAAGAAAAATATTTTTTTTTTCTTAAACTTGCACATACTACATATTGTCACATAAATATTACTTTAAAACATTAAAACGCATTTGTTGTTTAAATACTACATCAACACTCGAAAATAAGAGTAATAAAAAAAATCCACACATTACTAATCTATTACAAATATTAAATATGCAAGGATATGCAAAATGAAAGCGTTTTGTTTTCAAGGTTGTGAAGTCTTTTTCAAAAGTTTAAACCTTGTCAATGGAACTCAAAGCTTGCATGCTATTCATTTTACAAAATCCTCAATTTACGTCGATCATCATGAGGAAGTTGCATTGGAACTTTGGCTTGATCTATTGCCTTCTTCAAGAGTTATGTTGATAATGTTTTCAGTAAGATTTTCCATGTCAGAACTCTCTTCCGCATAAACTAAATATAGAAAAACCAAACATTAAAAATCATTCAAATTATAAGAAATTTACCAAAATAATTATGAAAAGAAATAAAACAATAGTACTATACCATATAAAAATATATTACCTCCTTTTCCAAATAGCCAATCTCGTGTGCACAACAAAGCTTGAACTGTTTCTGGTAACAATGAACTACGATACTGATCTAGTACTCTACCCCCAATACTAAATGCAGATTCTGATGCAACAGTTGAAATGGGAATTGTTAACACATCTCGTGCTAACTGAGAAAGTATCGGATAATGAAAACGCTCCATTTGCCACCAAGAAAGAACATCTATGTCTACTTTTCTATCTATTCTTTTATCCTCCAAATACTTCTGCAATTCAGTTTTTTCAATCGAACTTGAACCATCGTAATTATTATCAAAATCCTACATCATAAAAAATCATGCATCATGTTAATTTCAAATATAATATCAACACTTTTTATACTACTACTACAATCTACAAATATATAAAGTAAATAAAAAATAAACTTAGGTTACCTCAAAGAGAACATCTACAGATTCTGTTTGATGATTAGGCACTGAATTCCTTGGAGTATTTGAATTATCAAGATGTGAAAGTTTTTCCAAGTACACACCAAAAAGAACATTCAATTTGTCATTCACACCTTTGTAAATTCGACCGAATTCACACCATGAAGCTTTGTGTAAGCCCAATCCACAAAATTCAATTTATAACGAGGGTCTAAGATGATTGCAATTGCCAAAATCAAACTATACTCTGACCAATACTTCTCAAACTTCATGTACATGTAAGTCGCCATCTTATTCATGAAACTTTCAGAGGCATCCATGGCTGCCTTAATTTGAAGTTGGATTACGAACACCTTAGGGAAGAACAAATTTGATGTAGGGTACTTTGTCCCAGAGAATAAGCACGTAACCTCATAAAAGTACTCCAAAAACTTGGAAATCTTCATTATTTTATCCCACTCTTCAGAAGAAGGACAAGTATTAAAATTGGAATCACTCAACCCTAAATGAATCAAAGCATATCGATAGAAAATTGCATTATCTAGCATAATGTAGGTTGAGTTCCATCTAGTAGGGACATCTTGTCTCAAACCTCTCCTACTATCCAATATCCCCACTTGTCTAACACATTCATAAAACTTTAGTTTTCTAGCCTCAGAGCCCTTTATATACTTGACGCATTCACGAATCTTTATCACCGAAGAATCAATTTCTTTAAGTCCATCTTGAACTATCAAATTCAAGACATGAGCACAACAACGCACATGAAAGAAGTCACCATTCATCACGAGAAGACTTCTGAGATTCAATTGATTCTTCAAAATGCTAACAAAAGAAATATTTGAAGAAACATTATCCAAAGTAATAGAAAATAACTTCTTCTCAATTCCCCACTCAGTCACCAATGCATTAATTTTCTCAGATAATGCAACACCAGTATGAGGAGGAGGCATGTGACAAAAACTTAAAAATTCTCTTATGCAATTTCCAATCTTTGTCTACAAAGTGAGCAGTAAGAGCAAGATACCCATCAGTGCATTGCGAGGTCCATAAGTCTGATGTCAAACAAATTCTACCTTCAACCGAGTCTAGCAAATTATGAAGCCTTTGTTTTTCATTTTTGAACATCCTTAACACACAGGCTTTAATTGTATTTCTACACGGTAACTTAATATCAGGAGATATATATGCAAACAAAGCCCTAATTCCCTCATATTCAGAAAAACTAAAAGGAAGATTATGCTTGATGATGGCCTCTACCAATAAACCACGAAATACCACCGGATCAAAGTTTTGGGAACAGAATTCAGACACCGACAATCCAACAGTCTGTCCAGGGCATGTTTTCAAATGTCTATTCATATTACCCGTCCCATGATGACTATCATCTATTACCAGTTTCTTACAATCTTTACATTGAGCACGACTTTTACCATCTTCAAAAATAGTAGTCAATTTGTTGAAAGTTTTCCAAACAGGAGACCTGAGTGTTCGCTTACCTAATTTGATCACTCTAGCCTTTTTCTTTGCCGGACTTGTATTTGTATCTTCCATATTTTCACTTCCATGATCAGGTTGTATTCCCATTGTCACTTCCACTGATCCTCCATCACTAAGGTTCGTAAAATCTTGCTCTACAACATCCATTGCTTCAAGAAAGAAAAACAAAACTATAAAATCTTGCTCATACCAATTTCATACCATATCTATTTCAAATTCACTTATCCATTTCAATTTCAAATAGATCAGCACATAGATCAACAAATAGATCATCATTTCATTTCAATTTCAATTTCAATTTCAAATTCATACATCCATTTCAAATTCATACATCAACAAATAATACTATTTTGTTTTTGCATTAATCCATATAATATAAGGCATAACGGATGCAAAGTTAACCAAAAAATGATGAATAGCTAGCCACTGTGAAAATGATGCAAAGTTAACTATAAGATAATGATTAGGGTTATCCCCATCAACTCAACACCTCTCCATTTCTTTCCAATAATTCATCCAATTCAGAAACCCTCCTCACCAACCCTTCTATTTCTATACAAAAAGATGAATTGTTAACCATTGCGAAAACATGTGGTTATCAGATAACAATACGGGTGTTGGACAAAGGGCATGAACTTCAAAGCTTTCCCCATCATAGCCTCATTTAGATGTGTTTGATATATATGGTTCTGTCTTTTTAACACACATTTAGAAACCTTAATTTCAGAAAATCGTAATTCCTGTGATTATTATTTATATCAATTAGCAAATACCAAATAGATCAGCAAATTCAGCACAACAAACTGAGCAAAGAAATCATGAAGCAAATTAACCTTCTCCAAAAGCCCTAATTTAGAAACCCTAATTTCAAAAATTCATAATTCCAAAAGTCCTAATTCAGAAACCCTTGAGTTCATTGTAGGAATTTTTTACCTTGTGCAGTGAGGTGAGGAGTGCGGACTGAGATCGAGAGCTCGATTCAGGAGCCGTATTTGGGTGGTACTGGTATGGAGTCCGGAGTCTGGAATCTGGACAGTATGTGAACCAGTGAAGTCGCGATTTAGGTGATGACTGAGGACTGACAGAGTGACTGAGTGAGGGGTGACGGTCTGGGTGAGGTCGAGGACGATGAGGAGGGTGATCCGGTGAGGTCACTGAGACTGAGGTGAGGGTGACTCGGTGACGGTGAGGCGCCGCGTGAGGTCGATCGAGAGAGAGACAGAAAGAATGATTTGAGTTTCTGATTTGAGAAAGAATAGAAGGATAGCCTACAATGGACGGCTGAGATTAAATCTCAGCCGATCCAATGGTCATCAATTTTTAAAATTTAATTTAATATATATATATATATATAATTATTATAGTTTTTAGGGGTATAAAATTTTGTGGCATCCATCTACTAGTGTAAATATTTTAAATTGAAGATCGAATTCATTCATTGTATTCATATAGGGTCAAGGAGTGTAGTTGTAAAAAATCATCAAAATCGGAGTTAAAATAACCGTTAAATCGTGATTTTTTGTTTATAACCGTCGAAACGTTTTGTCTTGTTCCTTGATCTCTGAATGTTTTTTTTTTGCAATTTTTGGCGTACTTGATCTCAAAGTATATACAAACATGTTTGACGGTTGGATCGTTGAAATTAGTTTCGTAGAATATGTATCCCATCAAAACAATAGATTCACTAACACTTAAGAGTTTATTCATACTTTCATCAAGTATAACATAAGATTTTGTGGTATCCACTAGTGTAAATATTTTAAATTGAAGATCGAATTCATTCATTATATTCATATAGGGTCAAGGAGTGTAGTTGTAAAAAATCATCAAAATCGGAGTTAAAATAACCGTTAAATCGTGATTTTTTGTTTATAACCGTCGAAACGTTTTGTCTTGTTCCTTGATCTCTGAATGTTTTTTTTTTGCAATTTTTGGCGTACTTGATCTCAAAGTATATACAAACATGTTTGACGGTTGGATTGTTGAAATTAGTTTCGTAGAATACGTATCCCATCAAAACAATAGATTTACTAACACTTAAGAGTTTATTCATACTTTCATCAAGTATAACATAAGATTTTGTGGTATACACTAGTGTAAATATTTTAAATTGAAGATCGAATTCATTCATTGTATTCATATAGGGTCAAGGTGTGTAGTTGTAAAAAATCATCAAAATCAGAGTTAAAATAACCGTTAAATCGTGATTTTTTGTTTATAATCGTCGAAAAGTTTTGTCTTGTTACATGATCTCTGAATGTTTGTTTTTTTGTAATTTTTGGCGTATGAGATCTCGAAGTATATACAAACATGTTTGACGGTTGGATCGTTGAAATTAGTTTCGTAGAATATGTATCCCATC